TCTGGATGGAGCAGGAAGTTACTCATAAGGAGGTCATTCAGGGGCTCTATGACTCAGCCTCAGGGACAGGAGGAAGACAAGGCTCCCTAAAGTCTTGGTCAAGAATCAGAGCCACTAAACCTAGCTTCCTCTCAAGTCTTTATTCCTACACCATCCTGACAGCCCGCCCGTTCCTCTGCTTGCCACCCCACAGTGCTTCATAAATGCTGGTTGGAGAGGAAGTCCAGTGGAGCTGAGGCCCCTTCTTCTGCCACAGCCTTAGCCACGCACAGGATATGGGAATCTAGCAGACCCGCTAATAGGAGCCAGGGTGCAGGAGACCGCTGCTCATTAAGGATTTACAGAGCACACCGTCACATTCAGGGCTCAAAAACAATAGTTATTAGCCGCTTTTGTTTGCTCTGTGTGGATAAATGTTTCCCATCTCAGTTTTATGCATGAGGGCACTCAGGTCCAGAATGGGACAGTAGCAGACCTGTTACTACAGGAAGGCTAGATCAAAGACTGAGAACTCTTATCTAGGACCATTAGGGTCAAACACCATTTTAGTAAAAGGCCTTACTGATGGTTGCTCTAAGTTTTTTTTTTTTGGGGGGGGGTCCCTTAACTCATTCTTATTAGTAGAGATAGGGTCTTGCTATGTATCTGAGGCTGATCCTCTTGCCTCAGCCTTCTGAGTGACGGGCTCACAAGCAAGAGTCATGGTGCCAGGCCTCTTAAGCTTTTATTTCCTGTGCAAACCCAGTCATCAGGCTGTTCTTATCATGGCGGTTGTCTCTTAGTCTTTGACTAAAGCTGCTGGTTATTAAGGCAGTTGCTTTGTAGAAGCTGCATGAAGCTAGGTCTCCAAGAAAAGAAAGTAACATGTATTATTATTTACAGTGTGAAAGAAAAGCAAAGGCATCCTGTAGGAGAGGGAAAAGAACTTGGTTTGACGCGGTCTCCTCTCAGGCACATTGCTGCTCGTTTGTGAAAAAGCACTCCACTTGTAAAGTTAACCACCCATTAGTGAGTAGGAGCTGTTTTCACTAATTGGTGGGCTCCTGGGAAACACTGCAGAGTGAGTGGCTGCAGTAATGAACCAGGCGCCCTTGACTTCTATGTCTGGTTCCTTGAGAAACTTGTTGTGTGGCCCGAGGCAGTTTCCCCTCACTTCTGTGGGCCTTGTTTCTTCACCACCCTCCAAAAAAAAGCTCCCACTTTTTCTTCCTTGGCGGAGGGGCTGCTAAATGAGCAAAGAAACCGTGTCTGTGGAGCTTTGTGGAGGATGCCTAGCTGAAGTGCCTTGATTTAACAGGTATGAATCAACAGAATCCCTGATTATTGATAGAACTACATAGTTACGCTTATAATTAGCTCCTTCGGCATGTAATTGGCCACAGGAAGTTGTTGAAGTCCATAGCGAGCCAGCCCGGTGTTTGCCACAGTTATCTACTGTCTGGTGTGTCTTTGTGTGGGGTCTCAAATCACACTGGTGACTTTACAGGGATAGCTTGGATCTCTGGAAACCAGGCCATAGAGGCTCCTCTGGATTGGCCCCAAGGATGAGGTCTTACCAGCATCTAATAGCTCATCCCTCCCTGTTTACAGGGGGATGCGAAACCAGGCATCTTTCCTTTGCTTATTTCCTTACTGTTTTTCACTATACCAGCCTGAAAGCTGAGTGTTGAGCGGCCAGGGGTTCTAAGTGGGGTGCAGCAACACATGAACAGAAAGGCCCTAGACCCCCACAAAGAGCATAGTGCCTTCAGCTTAAATGACATCCAGCCCTGCCACGGGCAACAGCTGTCCCTGCCCTCTCCACCCCACAGCCTTCCAACTCCCCCACCCCACCCCAGCCATCAGCAGCCTGCTGGCTCCCTAGCTCCACCCCCTTTGCATGGAAAACAAAAAGAGTGGCAGCCAGTGTAGCTGCCTGTGTGCGCGTGTCCTCATCCATTCCTTTGGGATTCTTATGTCCCCAAGCAACCGTCAGATCTAGAAGAACTACCCACTCATTTTTTCTACTCCCACCTTTCCTGCTGAGTATTTAACTTGCAAAATAAAAACTAAGACAAAGTTGTGCTAAAAACAGCTATCAGGGAATCCACTGCTCTGCCCCCCTACAACAATTTCTACAGAAAGTACATCACCCCAGGGATGCACCCTGGGAATCAGGACTCCAGGGTTCACCCTCCAAGCAGGTCTAAGGCAGAAGCCCCTCCCCTTTCCCTGGCCAGCCACCCTGGCTAAGATGAGGAGGGGCTGCAGCAAGCCCAGATGGTTTTGTTTGGGCCCTTTGGCAGACACACAGATCTCCACACTGCACAGCATCAGGGACCACTTAGAGGAAAGGCATGGTTTGTGTTTTATATTTTTGCAAGGAGCTGGGGAAGAAGTTGTTGCCAGGAAACCGACCCTCAGAGCATTGCGCTCCAGGATTCTTTATCGGGCCTGGAGGCACTTCCCAAAAAAGGCCCAAGTGACTCTTACTCCTGAGTGTTCATGCCAGGTGTAGCTTCTCTTCCGCCTGGGGAGGTGTCTACCTTCTCTAGTCTGTACATCGGATGTAGATGGGGCTCCTAACTCCCACCCCCACTCCATGCTACTGAGACAAGGACCAGCTATATCACTGGGAGGGTTCATCAAAACAGATGAAAACACATTGGAAATTTCGAGATGGCAACAGCAGGTGCATGACCCTCTTGAGCAAGGGTCAGTTGAGTCACACATCCATGAAGCCAGCCCTGAACAAGGATCCACTTTGCTTGGTTAGGGTGGATGTAGGGTAGGGTCTGAGAAGGGCATCCTTTAGAGGGAGGGAGGGAGAGAGGGAGGGAGGGAGGGAGGGAGGGAGGGAGGGAGAAAGAAAAGCCTTTATACTTACTGTAAGATTTCCAGCATACACACAATCTAATTTAATTTTTTAAGCTTCAAGTCAAGACTTGGGAAATGTAAGAAACGAATTCTGGTGGTACTACAGTTATTCTCTCTCATTTGCTAGAATCTGGAAGCACTAAGAACATAAGGAAAGCACAGTGAGGTCCGTGTTCGTTGACTACTTATTTATACCGTTGCTGAGATCAGGATCTGCTGTTGTTAAGATCGATCACACAGGAGCCGTTCTTAACATTTTACAAATGGGAAAGGGATGCTAAAGGGATTGCTACGAGTTAAAGGCCAGCGAGGTGGAAGGAGGGGAGCCTGGATTTAAACAGAGGCTTCGGACTCTAAAGCCTGTGTCTTGCCATGGCATTCTGTGGTGTGGCAGGTTGTATGTAAGGCCAAGGTCATAGAGTCAAGTAGTTCTAGTGCTTACATGGCTGTGGTGAAGTTTTCTATAGGTGATATCTATACCCAACAAGTGGGTATCAGAGACTCCAAGTGTCTGCATTGAGGGATTCATGGAGGCAGAGTACCCATTGCCTAAGACGTAGTTCTTTGTATTTAAGTGACTAAGGCAGGATGGACACAGAGCCATTTCAGCCAATGCGAGCAAGACTTTGGATCATTTGCGTTCCTTGCAATGTCTCTCCACTCACTTGAAACTGATTCCAGAGAGACAGAAAAGTCTCCTCTCTGGCTTCAGAGTGAAACGCGCTGTGGATGAAGAGGTGGCCCCTCGCCCTTCAGGCTACCCATGTGGACAAAATAATTCTAGAATTCCACTGAGGAGAGTGTGAAGATGAAAGAATGCAGCCACTCTAGAAACCGGTTTTAACTGCAGCCCAGTTTTACTTGGGTGGTAAATCCACCGGCCAAGTATTGACTAACTGCATTCTGGGCCTGGGGAAAACAGGGCTTATGGAGCACAGGGAAATGGCCTTCCTGTCTGAAAAGTGGATGCTGTAATAGAGAACTGGGGACTTGGTCTGGAACAAAACCTAAAAAGCTATGCCCCCATATGGAGTAGAGAAACAGGACTGCAGAGAAGAATCAGCCATTCTTTCAGGCAAAGACAAGATCAGGCACCCTGCTTTATTCTTCATCAAAACAAACTCACATTCTAAGTGCATAGAAGGAAACGGAAGGGAAGCTCCGTGAACATAATAGACGCAAACCCGGGTACACAGAGCTTTAGCCTCTGGTGACATTCCCTAGACCGCTAAGTAACTTTCACTTTCATCCAGAAAAAGGCACACCACTCCTAGAGCAATCAGAAGCAGCCCTAATTGCCTCCCAACCTCAAGATCGGCTTTTTTTCACTCCTGGGGTTCGCTGGACCTTCTCTTGCTGGCAAGGCAAGACTGCAGTATCTGTACAGCGACAGAACTCTTGCTCCCCCCCCCCCCCCCGGTCTTTGTGTTGAGGAAAAAAAAAAAATAATAACAAAAAACTAGTATGACAAGCACACACTGTGATCATGAGTCGCCTGCCCCCAACTATGGTCGCAACAGCCTCCGCCCTCCAGCGAGTGAGGACGTCTGAGGTTCTTGCACATTAGCGGCAGGAAGTGGAGTCCCGAAGGGAGGCTGGGAATTTGAACGCCTTCCCATTTCAGCACTCGAGGGGAGGAAGCGCTGCTCAGCCCTCCGCGTGCACAGATGGCTACCGCTCCCTCCTGAGCGCTGTGTTCCCGGGCTCCGATCCTCTCCTCCCTCCTCTCATCTCCCCGCCCCCACCCCCTCTGCCTCTCCTTGGAGGGAAAAGTCTGCGAGCTGGGAACTGTCTTGGAGAATTCAACAAAGGCGGGAGCCAAAGGGGAACAAACTTGAAAAAGAACTTGTTTTGTTCCTGTTAAGGAACCTGCAGGAAAAATCTACACCCACTGGTGTGTATGTGTGCGTGTGTGCGTGTGTGCGCGTGTGTGTGTGTGTGTGTGTGTGTGTGTGTGTGTGTGTGTGTGTGTGTGTGTTTCAAGCACTAGTAGTAGGTAGGCTACCCGGAGGAGGCACCAACAACTGTAAGGTCTCTGCTTTGATAAGGAAACTCTCAGCTGTTGAAAAAGTTAATCAGCAAAGAAGGGACGACACCAGGGAACTCACCACTCCTGAATTTAAACTGCGTTGTTTTCGGTCCAGATATTCCAATGGAGACAGCTGGAGAATCTGTATTTCAGGGAAAAGAAGTTTTCCGTGGAAGTTCATGACCCCCGCAGGTAAGCCTGAAAAGCCTTTTTCTTTTGAGAGTGTGTGGCATGCTATTTGTATATCAGTTTTGTGTTGTCATGATGGTTAATGTTTGTGACCAGTTTGGGGTGAGGGGAGCGGATGGTGAATCGTGTAGAGCAGAGCAGAGTTCACATCAGACGGTAAGACGGTAAAGCTTGTCTTGATAAATGTAGTGTGTGTGTTTGTGTGTGTGTGTAGCAGTTCTGTAATCATTTTATCTGGCTACATGTTACTTGCGCTGTGTGTGTGTGTGTGTGTGTGTGTGTTTAGCAGTTCTGTGATAATTTCATCTGACTACATGTTGCTTTGTGTGTGTATTTGTGTGTGTGTGTGTGTGTGTGTGTGTGAGAGAGAGAGAGAGAGACAGAGACAGAGACAGAGACAGAGAGACAGAGAGAGAGAGACAGAGAGAGAGATATGCTGGAGGAAGCATTGTGGTACTTTGGAACAACACTGAGTTACATGGGGGCAGTGCCCTTGTAACAGACAGGAGACCAAAGGCATCCTTGCTAGAGGTGCTGAGCCTGTTTCAGGAAGGATGGTGGAAACTGAAAGGCATCTGTCACCAGAGTGGTTAGGCTCATTTATTTTGATCTGGGAGCTGTGATTTTGGGATGTTAGCATTGTGGGTGGATGTGAAATAAATGCAATTCTTTTTCCTTCCTCCTACATTGTACCCCCAAGAACACCAGCATTAAAAATCTGTGTTCCAAGTTGGATGCCAGACAATAGGGTCCCAGTTTGGAGTGCAGAGACCCCTGAAGGGAAGAAGTCTTGGCACCATCTACCCTCTGCTGGCAATCCTCTTTGTCTGCTGGTAACTCTCGAGTTGCAAGCAGCCCATAGCCAGCAGCAGTATTCCCTATGCCATGCCTGACACCTAAGAATAAATTGCTGTCTGTAGGTCCAGACCCATATTGACAAGAAGGCAGACCTGGGAAGACACTAAATAGATCAGATGTACTCTAGGAGCCAAGGTGGGTTTCAGGTGCTGTTGATCCTCAGCACTGGACTTAGGAGGAAGTGTAGGCAAGCAACCTTGCCTTACACAAGGCTTCTGAGCACACAGACAAGCAGCTGAGCCCTCCAGGGAGCTGGGGACTCAAGATGAGATATTGCCTCCAAGGAGAAGGCCGAGGTTTGTGCAGAGGCCTTCATGTCTGCCGCAGCTGATAACCCAGCTGCGTTGTGGACCTCCTTGTAATCTATGTGGAACAGCCTCCCTCCTGTAGGTGAGAGTTTATCTGTGCCCCTCAGTTACTATGAGATGAGCAACTAGAGAACAGAAGGTTCTAGACTAAATGAGTCTCTGCATTTGGGTGCAGAGGGTACTACTAAGCAGAAGGATGGCTTGTTCATTGGTTCTCAGGACCCTGGGATGCATTGCATGGTCTAAGCACCCTCCTCCACAGAGCACAATCCATCTGCACAGACCAAGGAGGGGCAGGTGGATGCCAAAAATAATAATCCAGCCAAGGAGAAACTCGCTGCTATTTTTCCAGGTGAACTTATGTCAGACTAAGATTCATAGACATATGAGAGCAAGGAAATCTAAGTGCAAGCAGGGTGAAGTGAATTCTACACCGTGGGTCATATACAGAAAGGGGATGCTTGGCAGAGCAAAAGTTAAATAAAACAATGGACCACCTGTGGGCCTGAGCCCAGGGAATAGACAGTCTCCATGCCTATGCTGTGCTTGTACCTGGGTTTAATCCTTCCACTGTGTCTGTCTGTGTGTGTGTGTCTGTGTGCGTGTCTGTGTCTGTGTGGTATATACACATATGTATGTCCCTTCTGTGTCTGTGATCTCATTAGTGATTTAATTACTAAATTTTTCTCACTGTCCCAAGGTCTAGGGATATAGGAAAAAGTCTAACATCATTTATTACCATATAGTGGGCTTTTGGCTTCTTTAGCAAAAGTGATCCATCTGATACATATTTTGAGAACTTCTGTGTTCTGTGTAGACATGGTTGGTTACAAAAGAAAAGCTGAGTCAGTATCCTCTTCCATTAGGAGCTATTAGCAGAGTCGGAGACACCAGCGACAGAAGTAGTTGGTGGCATTTGCCAAGCATAGGCACTGTTTTCATACTGACTCACATTTGCTCCCTGGGTCCTCACTATGACCTGGGAAATAAACCGAGGTACCGGAATGGACTGTGGATAGCCAGTGTGTGGTATAGGCTAGGTTTGAACCATAGAAGTCTGAGGCCAGAGCTCATGAACTTTAGTGCCACACACTGTGTGCCAGGCAGGGTGTACGGTGCTGAGTGGTAAAAACCAAAGTGCTGAATGATGTGGACACCGGAGGCCCAGCTGGTCAGGTGGTGCTTCCTGAGGAGAGATCTGAGCTGAAACCTCAGGGGTGTAGACAACTGATGCAGTGAGACGGGGGAGGGTTTTCTGTGGACAGAAAAACCCAAAGGTGGCAGTCTGAGCTCAGAGCATGACCATCTTCCCTGAGGAAAAGCAGCCCTGAGTCCACCATGACGGAGACGAGACTGCTTTCTGGGTGGAATGGGACAGATACAATCCTAGCCTTTCTTTCCCCGCTGTGCCTGCTGCCCCCTGGGACGCAGGGTCTGTGGTAGATTTTACTCTCCTGTTTACCCAGCTCTTACCCCTTTGTTTCCGTCATTATCTGGGGTTAGCAAACACGGATCCATTGGTAAGGGTTAGGTGAAGCAGAAGGTGAGGTGGGGAGGGCTGAGCAGAGAGATGAGCAGAGGAGATAAGTTCCTAATGGAGCAGGAGGAAACCCCAAGAGTATCTGATGTAGATGTTCCCATGAAACTTGACTTCCCAGACCCGAGGAACCACCAAGTCTTCCTTACTCGTGTTGCTGGAAAGCTGTGGCGCCTGGACTTTCACAGCTCTCCCTACCTTTACAAACGTTCACTTCAAGTTACTTTTTTCTGCCTCCTTTAGCTTTCCTGGGGATGTTTTTCATTTACTCCCAGCCAAACTAGGAGTTCAGAGGACAGCTACCGTGACCCCCAGAGGCCTGTGGGGGACCCTCCTCACTCTCCTGCTGTCCGTCTTCGGTTTCTCCCCACAGAGCTGTTTTACTCCTTGATATTTCTTTTCTCCCTTAACTATTGTTTAAACCAAATTGTTGGGGGGTGGAGTGTGTGTGTGTGGGGGGGTGCTACCCAACCTGTCTAGCATCAGGTTCCTAACCACCAGAGTTGAATTTCCTCTTAAATGTGGGCATGAAGAAGCCTCCCTGTTAAATCTTTAGCTTAAAGAGTAAGACAAGAACCGCAACTTTAAATGTTAAAGGAAAATGGGGTTTGGGGGAAAAATTGCTATTATTTATAAGTCCAGATGAGTCTATGGTTCTTCCAAATTAGATATTTTCTTTTTAAAATCATTGATATTTCTTCTGACACACAGATCAAGTGCTCTAGTTACACCCCAATCTGCCATCAGCCCCCACTTCTTCTGTTTTGGTATGTATGATGTGTTTGTGTGTGGGGGCCACGGCACACACATGGAAGTCAGAGGCCCTTATCTCCCACCTTGCTTGAGACAGGTCTTGTGTTCTTTGCTAGTAATGCCAGGCCAGCTGGCACAAAAGCTTTCCGGTCCATTGCCCTCCCTCAGCCTCCCGCCTCACCGTAGGAGCATTAGGATCACAAATGCACACGCCCTGCCTCCAACTTAATGGGGCGTCTGGGGGTCCAAACTCAAGTCCCCACACTTTGTGGGTTAAGTGCTTTAGCCACTGAGCCATCTTCCCAGCCCCACTCCACTCTCTCTGCCCTCCCTCCATCCCTCCCTCCCTCCCCCCTACAAATACTTACATTTGTTCCCAGACTTTAAACTATTTTAAAATATCTAATTACATTTATTTGCGTGTATGTGCATGGGTGTTACCTTTGTGCACATGTGTATATGTACGTGTGTGTGTGTGTGTGTGTGTGTGTGTGTGTGTGTGTGTGTGTGTCAGAAGTCAGAGGACAACTTTCTCTTCTTATATCTTGTGGTTCCAAAGGATCAAACTCAGATTGTCAGGTTTGGCAACCAGTCACGTCTCTAGCCCTGTTCTCAGATTTAATCGGTGTACCCACCCTATGGAATATACTTCGCTGCGACTGTGGCCCCGTAAATCTTTTCTCCCCCACCCAGACACCATGAACATGTTGAGACTGGTGCTTCCCATTTTTCCTTTTAAGCACCACTTGCCTCTCTCTACTCCATATATTAGAACTGTAAGTGTGCTCACAGAGTTTAGGGGAGTGGCTGGCTCCTCTTTCTCTGCCTCTCCTGATTCTTAAGTACCTTTATGCTCTGGGAATGGATCTGTGCTGGATAACTAGACCTTTCAAGGGACGTCTTTCTAGTCAGAGCAATGCTGGGAGTCCCACGATGCAGGAAGTATTCAGGCCTGTGGAGAGGAGGGAAGAATTCACCCACCTTCGCCATAGGCAGCATTGCCTGGCTAATGAAGAGCATTGTCAAAGGCTTTTCCTGGCTCTGAGATTTGTCTCGGCTCCATGCCAGGAGCTGAAGATCAAAAAGGACCATCAAGTGACCTAGAGTGACCCATCGTGTCCTAGAGCTAAAACTTGAGGTGTCAGTTCCTAGAGCTAAAACTTGAGGTGTCACAGGGCATGGACACGTGAATACTTCAGTGTATGTGTACCTGTAGACTTGTGTTTCTGTATCCTTCGTGTCCCTGGGCTCTCACTTAAAGCTGTTTGGTGAACGGCTCCTCCCCATCACTGAAGGAAGACCGAATGAAGCTTGGGATTCTTGTTTTTCCAGGGCTTCGGTGACCAGGAGGACTTTTGGGCACAGTGGCATCGCTGTGCACACGTGGTATGCGTGTCCCGCGTTAATCAAGTCCATTTGGGCAATGGCGATTAGCCAGCATCAGTTCTATCTGGACAGAAAGCAAAGTAAGGTAAGTGACCTTCTGCCGCCAGGACGGGCGCTAACTGGGCCTCCAGGCAGCCGTTAGGGATGGGAGTCAGATGGGGGGGAAGGAGGGGCTGCGTCCTTGGCCTGAGACCCATCCAGGTAAGGGCTCGCCTCTTCAGGCTGCAGATAGGAGGAATGCCAACAAATCATTAAGAGGCCAGGCTGGGTGCTGCTCCTCAGGGGCTCCAGCCCAGGCACCACCAGAGGTACAGTCACGTGAGGTCCTCAGGAGGCATTCTGAACATACTTTTGGGGGCTCTGGAGGCTCTCTTAGGAGTGAGCTCTCAGACTCTTACTGATGTTTAGACAGTGGTATATTGTTTTCTTGGTAGTGGGGCAGATAACCGTCCTCAGCTAATAGAGGCGACTAACCCAGCCCATCTAGGGAAATTGCTGTGAAAAGCCCTTCAGGCTTTTCCAACTGCCAACTCTGTTTTTAAAATGTAAAACTGGAAAAGTGAAAAGGAAAACAAAGCAGAAGCAGCACCAGCCCCGTTTCCCTCAGGTAGACCTGGAGCCTGGGGCGTTGGGAAAGTGCCATCTCCAAGGCTGCGGCTCATCCACCCCCGGCCCAGACAGTCAGCTGTGCCTCCTGGTGGGTGGGAGAATGAGGTGCTCTTGGTTCACACACAGCTTATGGCAACACTCTGGCCTCTCTTCCTCCACCTGGCCTCCCTTCCTCCTCTTCCAGGGACCCCACAGGCCACCCCCACTCCAGGTATCATAGCCAGGCCCCTACAGGGGTAGATGGTTAAGTTTGTGTTAGGAGTCTACAGGCCTCGGGTGATGGGAACACGGAGCAATCCCAGTCGGGGCCCCTCCAGTGGCTTCCACCATCCACAGGAAGTTGCCTCCCCTTGCGTGTGTTCTTAGGGGCTAGTGACATTTAAGTGGATGGAGATGTTAAATTGGTACCCTCTTGGCTCCTTGTCCCTTTCTTGTGCCCTGCCCCCCCCTGGAGGAGAAAGCGGGAGCTGAAAGTAAGCTAAGCACAAGATAGTAAAAGGGAACTGGCGGGAGTGAAGCCACCCTCCGGCCCCAGTTCAGTCCCAAATCAGGGTCTGTCCCATGCCACAGCCACTGTCTGCTTCGTAGAGTATCAAGTCTTTTTCTGAGTCTTCCTGACCGCTTTATTTTGGGGGTGACAGAGTCTGGTATTCATGCGGCTGGAAATCATGAGAGTATTCCACACTCCTTGAGTGATGATGGGCCTTGGCACAGGCCTTTGAAGCCTAATTAGATCAAAGGAAACAGAGCCACAGGGGTTTGACTCACATTAGATGTTGGACAGTGGGGGCTGGTGCTCTGCTCTCCAGTGGAGGAGTTGGAGGTCAACACCCACAAACACTGATTTCATCTTGTGTTGCTTGCTGGTGGGTAGTAATGGTCGAAAGGTTGAACATTTTCCCCAAATCCCACTGCCAGTGACTCTTGAGGGCAGAACCCTCCCCTCCCCACCCCCCCATGACCAGAGTCTGCAATGGGAAGAGGAAGTAGCCGCTGTTTCACCCACAGGACAGTGCAGTGTCAGCGGCGTCAGGCCCTCCTCCTCAGGCTGGTGTTTTTTTAGTTTCCTGGGTATCTCAAGTAGCCTATTCTTGGGGTTCTTTGCAAAAAAAAAAAAAAAAAAAAAAAAAAATGCTCACATTTGCCTATGAGAAGTCTTGTTCAGCAGACGTCCAGGGGGCCGAGGATTCAGTAAATGAAGCTCGGGGAAAAAATAATCACCAATCACTCTTTAGCAGGAACCATTATTTAAAAGACAAATTGAGGGCTGGAGAGATGGCTTAGTGGTTAAGAGCACTGGCTGATATCCTAGGGGACCCAGGTTCAATTCCCAGCACCTACATGGCAGCTCCTAACTGTTTGTAACTCCACTTCCAGAGGTCCGACATCCTCACACATACATGTAGGCAACACACCAATGCACATAAAATAAAAATCAATCAATAAATAAATAGTTTAAAAGAGAGAGAGAGAAACCCAGCTACGGGAGGTGGCAGGTGGCTCACACCTGTAATTCTAGCTCTTAAGTGGCAAATACAGGGAGAGTGTTGCTTCAGGGCTAGCCTAATCTATATAGAGAGTTCCAGGCTAGCCAAGGCAACTTACTTAATGAGACTCTGCCTCAAAAAAAGAAAGAAAGAGAGAGAACAGAAAGAAGAGGCAAAAACCAAAGCCCAAAAGCATGAGGAAGCTCTTAGCTGTCCTTCTTAGTAATTCTGAAGGACAAAAGAAAACAGCCAAATTCCCAAGGGGAATAGAATTTTACCCAGGGATCTTTGCATGGCTGCATATGTCCCGGAGGCCTAGATACGTGTCAGGAAAAAAAAAAAAAAAGTTTGTTTTCTTGTGGTACTAGAAATTGAACCTGGGACATTACTCCTAAGCAAGTGTTCCACCACTGAACTTGTCCTCAGATCTAGGATTAGGAGCCAATTCTTTAACATTACAGACAGGCGAAGACCAGGTTCCCCTGTCTGGATGTTGGACAACTATTTCCCAGCTCTGTGACCTTGGGTAGGCGTCTTATCACATGCCCTTTGCTTTCCCCAATTGGAGAACAGAAAAGGAACTTCCTGACCCAGATTTGTACTTGCTGAAATGACATGGTATTTGTGAAACTGCTTTAGGAAATTTGTGTTTTATTAACATCATGGTTAAGTTAACACATTCCCCTCTTCAATGCTGCGTCAAGTTCAAACTATCTGAGAAGACCCCACTTTAAAGCTGAGCTGGTGAAATACTGAGTTGGAATTACATTACAGCACAGTTTATTCTGGGATGTCATATGACCCATCTTTGGTGGGCAGCATGGACTCTGCAGTGATTGTCAACAAGCTTAGGATAGAAAGCTTCACATATTTCTGGACAGCCAGTGTGGGCTGGCATCCTGGCAGGGCTTTGCATTCTACTGTATGGGGCCATGCCAACCATTCCTTTCTCTGAAGTGCTCCCAGCACAGTTCAGGCCTCCCAAGTGATGTTTATCAAGCCCAGAGAAACAAGTCCAGTCTAGTGGTTTGAATCAGCGAGAGCAGGAGCCAAGACAGCTCATGTGCCTCCTCCCTGGCACCCAGAGTACCTCCCGGTCATTGTGCAAATCATTTAAGAAAGCCTCCCAGTGGTGGCGCACACCTTTAATCCCAGCACTCGGGAGGCAGAAGCAGGCAGATCTCCGAGTTCGAGGCCAGCCTGGACTACAGAGTGAGTTCCAGGACAGGCAGAGCTACACAGAGAAACCCTGTATGAAAGAAGAGAGAGAGAGAGAGAGAGAGAGAGAGAGAGAGAGAGAGAGAGAGAGAAAAGAAGAAGAAGAAGAAGAAGAAGAAGAAGAAGAAGAAGAAGAAGAAGAAGAAGAAGAAGAAGAAGAAGAAGAAGAAGGAGAAGAAGGAGAAGAAGGAGAAGAAGGAGAAGAAGGAGAAGAAGGAGAAGAAGGAGAAAGGAGGAGGAGGAGGAGGGGAGGGAGGGAGGGAAGAAAGAAAGAGAAGTATGCCCTCTCTCCCTGTCTCTTCTCTCCCCATTTGCCCCCTCCCTTCCTCCTGCTTCCTCTTCCTCCATCAGCTCCTCAAACATGTACACGAAGGAAAACTTGCACCATCACAAACAGTGGAGGGAAGCTGGTTCTCTGCAGTTCACTGAGTAGGAAGCTCTGCAGACATCCACTGTAACTGATCATTTATATCTGCTGTTACTAAAAAAGTTCAGCAGTGCTGTCAAAAGGATTCAGTAACCTCTGCATCCTGGAGCCAAAGAATGACTTTCAAACTTCAGGGGCAAGTATTGGAAAGCTCCCATTGTTTAGAGGAACTAATGGATGCTTTTCCTCTGACCTTAGAGTATTGCTTTCTAGAGTTAGCCCCAATGCAGACATCTTTCCTCCTTATTCTCTCCTTTTTTTTCTCCTTTCCTCGTCCAATCTATTTATTCCTTCTAAAATCAACAGCATGATACAGCAATTTAAGGCTTGCTCACAGAACATCCATACTCACACCGAGTGGTCATTTGAGATTTTTACGGACTCTGGGGCTGGCCCAGAGACCTAACATTGCAAGAAGAGAATCTCCTGGGACTGTTCATTGTATTTTTTTCTGGTTCTCATCCCACAAGCAATCTGTTGGGTTATTGTGATAGGCCCATTCCAGAAAGTTCTTAAAGTTACCAGAATCTAGAGTACATTAGAAAAAGGCTATCTGTTGTTCCTGCTTCTATAGTTTGGTTTTCTGCCTCTGGGGTTGATGTCTAAGCAGGAGGCGGGGGGGGGGGGGGGGGGTCCTTTGAGGACAGGTTTTCCATGTGATTAATGGGATCTTTACAAAGCCAAGTAGAGCCATCAATCTAACGTCATTCACAAATTACATCCAGGTCCTAAATTATACCCTACTCCTATTGCAGTGGCCTTGACATACAGTATTCACCATGGTCCTCATCCCAACTCTGTGATGTGAGCTTTAAGATCCCCATGTTACAAGCAGGCATCTGGGGATCAGAGAGGTCAAGAGTCAAAGTCTAACAGTGACTGATGAGGAGGAACTCCAGGCCCTAGCCACTGTGTTATGTGGGTTCGATGAGTTGCTGCTCTGTAGCCATTTAAGTGTGGGCTTCTTCTATAAAAATGCAGGACTTGGTCAAATGCAGCGTAGAAAGAGGAAGTAATGGATTGTGTGCACCCTGCTTGCCTGAAGGATAAAGCACAGCCAGATGGGTGCTGTAGATATGTAGAGTCCACATGAAATAGAAAGCCCTTCCTGCTTCCTGTGGCAGCCAAAGGCTGCCAGGCCTGGCAGCTGGGTTTGTTTATGAACATGGGGGCCCTAACCCGAGGAAGCCGACCTGGTGCTGTACATAAAGAAGAAAGAGGGGGTTGGGAAGGAGACCCAAGTCAAAGTTCCAATGGTAGAGGAGGAGAGGAGGAGGAAGACAGTTCACATCAGGTGAACAAAACAAAAACAAAGGTCTCCGTGTTTCTTCTGGCCAGAGACGCTCATTTGTTAAGAGGAGGAAAGTACGCAGGGCCGGAAGTCACTGTCGTTCATCGGCACAGGCAACAACATCTGAGGCCAGAGGAAGGGCAAGGCCTGAAGGGTCCAAATAGCCTTTGTGGGACAAATAACAGCCCCTGGGCAAAGGAGGAAGCCTGTAAGTCAGGAAGAGGGGACTGTGGTGTGTAGGCCTCTCCAAAACTGTCAGCATCTGTCTGGAACCTTGTGGGTGTGGAAAGACTTCCTCTCCTGTAGCAGCCACCCATGGAGCTCACCCAACTCCACCACAGAGAGCCAGTGTGTGCTTAGAGTAACATTTGTAGTGTTTTCATGACGCTTATGAGACAATTAAAAAATTTATTTAAAAACAATAGCAACAAATTGCAAAATGCCAAATAATGTCTCTAGGAAGAAAATACAGCACATTTCCACATTACCAAAGGTGTCACTAAATAATGCAGGTAACCTTACCGAAGAAGCAATCCCTTTTAGAGATGGAATTGTAAACACAGAACAAAACCGTTCTGAGATTCTCCTCACCTCTGTAACTGTAAGCCCAGCGAGGTCAGTTGATCTGCACACCAAGTGGACTGGGGTTTGAACTCTGCTATGAAGACTTTGGAGCGTTCATAGATTTAATCAATGAAAACTGAAGCAAATCTCCAGCCAGATGCTGTCAGTGGGAACGGAGTGCCCCAGAGGTTTCCGTCTGTTTATAGTCTTTGCAGATGTAGGATGCCAGTACTTCGTCATCTAAACTTTCCCTGGTCACACAGGTAATAACTGGAGATATTTAATAGCGTCTAAATCTATTGACAGTTCATGAATCTGTTCCACAACTCTCATCTGTCAGTCATAAAGCTGAAAATGTTTTCTCCTCTTTGTTTAAGCATAAAATGAGTAGAGTCACAACTATGTATGTACGTGTGTGTGTGTGTGTGTGTGTGTGTGTGTGTGTGTGTGTGTGTGTCTGGGGGGGGGGGGTACTAGGGGTTGAACCCAGGATCTTATACATACCAGAGAAGTGATCTACCATTGAGATATACCTACTTATTCTACTTTTTATGTTAAGAATGGATCCCTCAAGCGGGTGGCAGTGGCGCTCGCCTTTAATCCCAGCACTCGGGAGGCAGAACCAGGTGGATCTCTGTGAGTTGGAAGCCAGCCTGGTCTACAGAGCGAGATCCAGAACAGGAACCAAAACCATACAGAGAAACCCTGTCTCAAAAAACCAAATAAAAAAAAATGGATCCCTCACTAAATTGTTCAAGCTGGCTTTGAACTTGCTTTTTGGCCCAGGCAGTCTCTGTCAAGCAGAGAAGAAGGGAGAGGAGGGAGGGATCAGAGAGAGGGAAGGGGATGTCCTACACACAGCTTGTCTCTTTCAACTCCAGCTCACCTTTCTGTGGTCGGTAGTTACTTCTCTGATTTATATTTGGGCATAATAAGACACAATAAGATTAAACACTTTTCCCAGAGTATAGACTGCAAAGATCACACTCTTTGCACTCTGCTTTATAGCCTGTGGAATCTTGGGCTGTGAGTTCCGGGTTGTGTAGCTTATGAGCCACCTGACTTCAGGACTCCAAGTAAGCGAGTGTTTGCTGTTTCCTCTCTAACCTGTGAGTCTTTCCTTCCCAGTCCAAGATCCATGCGGCACGAAGTCTGAGTGAAATCGCCATTGACCTCACAGAGACAGGGACGCTGAAGACCTCGAAGCTGGCCAATATGGGGAGCAAAGGGAAGATCATCAGTGGCAGCAGTGGGAGTCTGCTGTCCTCAGGTAGGGCCGGTGCCCGAGACACCTTCCACAGAGTGGCTTCCGCCCAGAGAGGTAGGGGACACCATCCCAGGCTGTCCAGATGCTGCCTTTAGTTCCCAGACCAAGCTTTGGAGACAAATTCCGGTTTAAGAAGTTTCCCAAGCTACCCAAAGGGGCAGAGGGAGATGAATGTAACCTCACAGTATGGGGCCAATTGTCCAGAGTCTCTGCAGGTACCTCACAGGGATTTTTAGAATGCTGACTGGTGTGATCAGTAACTATCATCAGGAGCGTCAGCTCCAAAGGCAGAGAGTGGGGTTTGCTCTTGTGTTCTTAAGAGGGGGGGCTGTACTGGGGAAGGACAGAGGTCAGGGTCAAGTTGCTATATTCTGCTTCCAAGGAGACATCTGCAGCTTTAAAAGGTAAATGAGACAAGGAGAGACTTGCTGTCACAAGAGGTGGCTGAAGGAATACCCTTTGTCGCCACTCAGTTCTACTGTCTATTTCTGTGAGCATCAGGAAGGTTGTTTTACCATTTAAGATTAGGAGGGCCGAATCAAAATTATTTTGGCTTCAAGAGTGGAGATCAAGGACCTACTTCATTGGTAGAGTGTTTGCTTAGCTCACACAGGGCTCCGGGTTCAACCCCTAGCCCCTGAATGAATTACAGAGTGGGAATGCCATTTGCTCAAAGGACAAGAAGAGGCATGGGTTAACGGAGGGCTGAGGGAGAAAAAGACAGCCATTGTTCAGAAATATGAGCCACGTGTGACTAGTCAATGCCTCTTCCAAAGCTGCGTGTTTAAACGCCTGATTAATTTAGGTGGCTGTTTGCTTGCTTCCTGTCGCTGTGATAAACATCATGACCAAAAACAACTTAGGGGGCAAAAGTGTTTATTTCGTCTTACACTTCCAGCTGTCAGTCCATCACTGAGGGCAGTCAGAGCAAGAACTCAAGGCAGGCATTGAAACAAACCACAGAGAACCACCGCTTACCGGCTTGCTCTCCCAGGCTCTTATTCAGCTAGCTTTCTTATGCAGCCCAGGCCCACCTGCCTAGGGATGACACCACCCACAGTGGAGTGAGCTCTCCCACATCAGCCATCCGTCAAGACCGTCTCACCAGACATGAGCACAGGCCAATCTGATCTGGGCAGTCCTGTGCTTGAGACTCAGACAGATGACTCTGGGCTATGTCAAGTTGATAGATAAAGCTAAGTAGGACAGGAGCCATGTCACCTTGCCTCTGAGCTAGGAAAAGAAAAGATGTCTCTACTTCCTGTCTGTGTCTAGGGCCAGTGCTATAACTATATACAGTGACTGCAAACAAGGGTAACAGCCAAAAAGGGAAAGACGGAAGAAAAAGACGAGCTGACGTGTGTTAGCTTCTGGGCTGGTGGTGTCTGCTCATAGGCAGAAGTCCAAACCGAAAGAGCTAAGGAGAGGAGTATGTACACTGGGCCTGGAGTGAGAAGTGGGTTTGCTATGGGGCTGACAGAGTGTGAACTCAGATCTCATGTTGGAGAGGCTATGGCCCTACTTCTCAGAGACCTAGTAATACGTTCACACGCTTGTGAGCTCTACATAATACGCTGTATATTGCTTGTCTTAAATGAACTGTCAACATTATATAAGCTTCGGGCTCAGAAAAGCTGGGTCTGTCTCTGCCATACCTCCATAGGGTTGACTTTAACTCTAACTCTGCCCCTGCCTAGAATTCTTCAAAGCTGTTTCATACAAAAGGTATGCCAAATGGCCATGACTTCTGAGGCTTAGAAGTTTGCAAATAAAACTGTAGAAAATGTCTTTTTATATCAAGACAAGACCATTCAAAACCTAAACATCTATCCAGGGCTATAGCCCCTGCCAGCCTCCCACTGAATGGGCAGAGCAGAGCCAAAGACAACACCAGGTTTGTCTCTTAGATACAGCATGCAGTGGTTTTCCTAATTCCTGTGAAACAGTCTCAGATAAGAGCCTTGATCTATCCTACCTGCCTCCTCCTCTAGTTCCTAAGAATCTAGCCTTGCTCCACTCTGGATTCTTCCAGCTCAGGGTTGTAGGAGTGCAATACAACCATTGGTCTTTCTCCTCATGCCACGAGAGTCTGTAAGTCTGCATGAGCCCAGGAATGAGTTTATGTTTCTACCAAGTTCCCAGATCACTCTGCGGCTGCTGGTCCAGGGACTGTGTTTTGAAGGTCACTCTTGTTGCTAAGAAGAGACTGAAGTGGTCACGTGGCTTAAGATAATGAAACTCAGGCTTCTCCACTTTCAGCCTATGACCTGGTCCATCTTCCTGGGCCCCTCATATCTCTGAGGCAACCTCTAAGGGCATCAAGGCAGATGCCTATCAGCAGCTGTAGATGAAGTTTCTAAGGTGAGACTGACCCCACATAACCATCAGGAATGGCATTGAAGCATCTTTAAAACCAGAATGTAACCCATTTCTATACTGTCATCAGATTGGCATTAATCACCAATCCAAGGGCTAAAAGATAAATCGCAAGAAAATCTTCCTGCTGAATCCATGCCTATGTGTAATGTGCAAGCATCGTCCTCTTGGGTGAGATGCTTAGGAACTGATAAATGCAGCTGAGGCCACTTATGGCTTGTACTAGTTACTAGCTTCAGCCACTCAGCTCTTCTGATGTTGCTAAGCAAGAAGAAACATGGAACACAGAGAAAGCCACATGAGGAGACCAAGGAACATATCAACCTTTCCCAGGCCATACAAGTTTGAGCCTGAAAAATGTGTGTGAATGCCAGCTGAGGTTCCTTGGGGATCCCCCACGCCCACCCTCATGACTTAGGAAAACAGCTGGGACAATGGAGGGAGGGACCAGAACAGGATGCCTGCCATCAGTGCACAAAGGGAATTTCTAGGATATATGGATCTGGTCCTCCCTCCCACGGAGGTTGCTGCCTGCTGCCTCTCATGATTGCTTGCTCTGGGAGGCAGCCCTCACCTGGGGAAAGCCATTGGTAGCCCTATCTATGATGGACCAGGTTAGTGTCCCACTGTGGAGGAATTTAGCCCCTGGTCTAAAAACCGGGGCAGCTGGCTAGTCTCCTTCCTTTTTCTTTCTGTCCTCTTGTCTGTAACATGTTCTCACATGCTTGCTGTTACAGGACAGCTCTGTCTTATTGTGAGCACTTGCCAGACCTTCCACGCTAACGATCATTCACAGGGGAGACAACGCAGCACCCAATTCCATAAACTGTTCCCCCACCCTTAGTATGTGGTATCTAATAAATGTTCCTTAAAAGCACACTGAGAACCTAGTTAGCACAAGACAATTCCTACTCCATTGTCCAGCATCCAGTAGCTACTCAGTAAAGTATCAATAAGAAGTTTTAGAGACTAGCAGAAAGACCTGCTGTGTGTGGTAAGAACCTTCATGTTTCTGGAACGTGTGGTGTCTCTGGCCTCACAAAGAGTTCTCCTGAGAATCCCCAAACCTCTAAGGTAAAAGTGATACCACATTGATCATTAGGAATGACATCCAAGCATCTTTAAAACTAGACGGAACATCTCTATGCTGCTGTCAGGCTGATATTCTTTGTCATCCTGGTGTTAGACCTTTTGAGGTCACTTGCATCGGCCCCTCAGCCCTTTCCAATATTGTCCCTGGGGCAATGGTGGCCAACTCTATTTGTTTCTACTCATTGCCTTCTACACTTCCCAGTGCCGCAACATCATGCATAACCAAACCATATAACAATGCTGTCCTATTTCTGTAATATAAACATTCATTTTGACTCCTAAGAGATGCTGGCTTATGCTTTGATTTTGATCATTTGGGTCCGCTGTTGGGCACAGCCCTCCCCACCAACGCCAGGCATTGCCAAAGAAGTTGGTGCTGCCGAGGTTTGTTTATACTGGACTGTAGAACCTTGAGTACAGCAAAAAACTCCTCTGCTGAATGGATGTTTCTGAACTCAACTGTGCAGGGCTGGCCCAAGCCAAAACTAGGGAAGTGGGTAATAGACACAGCATTTAAAAACACATAGGCCTCTCTGAAAAGGGTTTGAATATTGTACATCGATACAAAATAAAGTAGGCCCAAGCTATTAGTAACTTTAAAGGCAGTTTTCCTACTTAAGGTTGTTGGGAATTGCCTTTAAAATTGCCAGGAAGTCCAGTTCTTGGTATCTGAGTCCTCTAATGCTAAAGAAATGAAGGAATGCCATTATTATCCATTACAAAAATCAGAAGTCCATGCCCACCAATGCCCTGAGTCATTAGTATGAGTGGGGCAGGAGGGGTGGTGACTAGCATTTCCAAATGAAAAGTGCACATGGTTCTGTGATTAAGTTTAGGGTCAAGACATTTAACATAGGGGCTCCCAGGAGGATGCTGTAGGTTTATATCCTGGTAGAGACCCACAGGGTGATGTCTATCCCATCCAAGCCAGAGCTACAGGTCTGTGTCGGTCAAAATCTACACGTGTAGGGCTCCAGGAAATCTGCTGATGGATCCCCGGAAGGGGAGAGAATAAGCGGGACACTTAGTCACAGTGGCCCTTATCAGCCTAGATATTTCCTCCAAATTTGGAGAGAGCTTTGGCCATGGTGTTTTGTTCACTTGGGCTTCGAGTAACAAGTTGTTAAGATGTTCAATACAGTTTGAGAGAACAGCCATAAATTCAAACCATCCATTCAGCCGAGCTGTTTTTAAAGCTTGTATGTTCTCTCTCCCCAGCCCACCTTCTCTCTTTCTACATGAGCTCAAGTATAGCCCAGTGGGCAGAACACTTGCCTAAAGCCCTCAGTCTAATCCCCAGCACCCCACAAGAAAGAAAAACAGAAGGTCCATCCCAGATCTTCTGCAGGCTCTTCAAATGGTTTCTTCCCCTTCCCTTCCACCATTCTTTGAAATGTAAGAGGGACAGGGATGGGGGGTGGGGTGCAGAGGAGGCGTAACAAAACAAAAACAACCAGCAACTATTCTTGTAGTCAGGACTTCAGTGGAAGTGTAGGCGCAGTTGGGGATGATTTTGCTCTCAGGCTGTTTACAAC